TTCGTACATGTAGTGAGCTTTTTTTTAGTTGTTAACTCTTAATGAAATATATTGTCTAAACTAATAAAATAAACTTTCCTGAGGTTTAAATTCAAGGGTTTTGAAGAGAAATTAGGTGCCTTTAATTGAGAATTGAAGTCGGTGGTTTTTTGCTTAAAAATTACTCGTATTTATTTTTATACCCGATCGCACTTGTGCACAGGGTATTATAACTTTGTTCGCATAACGGTTGTTTGTAACAGCCTAAAGAAATCGAGATAGATAGTAGGTTGCTATTCAAAATGGGCGAGATCGCACTTCTACCACATATAACGGTATTTGCAAAAACTAATATATTTCAGTAAATATTGGATCCAAATTGTTGAAAATTAGTATGTAAAGTAGAATTTCGGTACAAAATAATATTATTATGAAATTTTTGGAAAAGGGGCGTGACCCCGCGCACTTATGGTGAAATACTATATCTAAGTAACCGCTTCACCAATCCTTACCAAACTCGGTACGAGCCTTGCTTAGGGTTTAGCTAAGAAATTTGTCAAGCCAAGCCAAGCTGCCAATCTGAATTCCAGCGGCACCATATATGGCAAAAGAACGATGCTATTGGCGTATGCAGATGATATCGATATCGTAGGTCTAAAATAAAGGGACATAACCGCAGCATTTTCCAGTTTAGAAAAAGAAGCTAAAGAGGTTGGTCTAGCGGTGAACGAGGGCAAGACAAAGGACCTGCTGGCAACATATAAAGAGTCCACGCGTTTCGGGACACATGTCACTGTTGGCAGATATAACTTTGAAGTAGTGAAGGACTCTGTCTACCTAGGATCCTAGGTTGTATTAATTGTAACAAAAATGTTTGCAGAAAATATTGTAAGCATATTTCACAAAGTGTAGAATGTACCAACATCACTGTTGATGATGACGGATAAAAATGTAAAAAATAAATGCTTATAATATCCCAGTAGAACTTCGGAGCTTCGTACGATTGCTCGGTGAGTACTCCCTGGGGAGTATACGAATACTCCCCATTGCTCCCTATGCTTTTGTGTATAAGCATGTAATTTTGTATACTCCCTTTAACATTGTATGTCCTAGGAAGGGGAGTAATCCCTTTTATCTCCTAAACGAGCAATCGGGGAGCACACACAGAAATATCATCCCACAAACCTCCTAACGGAGCAATACGGGAGTACTCCCATAAAAACCTCCCCTATACCTCCCAAAAAGACAACAAGGGAGTGCACATAGAAAAACATCCTATATTCCTCCCGAACGAGCAATAAGTCAGAACTCCCATGGGAGGCATCCCGAAAGCCTCCTGTACAAGTAATAAAAGAGCTTTTCATTGCCCCACACAATAGCTTGAAGATTTTGCTATTTACGCAATCCATTTATTTCATTTTTTAAACACATGTTTGTATACAATATTAAAAGATCTTAACTGATACCTATAAGTATGAGATCAGCAAAACATAAATAATACTTATTACTTGTACATTATTGATTAATTTTGGAATTGCTGTTGCGAACAAATGCATTAAAAGTAAAACAGAATATAATAATAAAACGGTAAGATAACTACATGATGTCCTGGGTGTCAGGGATGCTTGGGTGTTCAGGAGTTCACGCAAATAGGGAGAGTGTATAAAACTTTCTTGTTTTAATGTGTAGGTGACTTTGCCCATCTGATATCTTTGTCACCCAGTAAAAGATCTGGACCGGCTTGATATGAACGTTAAAACCACGGAGTCATGCGTAAGTGCTGACACTCCTAATAATTTGCCAAATCTGAAAAGTATTTAGCGGTATCTAATACAATATTTAATAAAATTAAACAAAAGTTGCAATACATACCGACGGACCTTCATTTAAATGTGTCCTATCGACATTAAATTATTGTATCCTCCTTATATTGTTTCTATATGAAATATTTTCTGTAGTTTTCCTTATGATACATTTTTCCAATAACACAAAATTTCTTTTGAACGAGGTGCCTATAGCTCCCCCATAAATCAAAAGGAATACTCCTGGATTGCTCTCTTAGGAGACATCGCTTTTTGCTCGTAAGCGAGTAATAACGGAGTACAAAACCGACAAATCTCAGTTATAGCTCCGAAATCATTCCTCAGCGAGTATTCTTTTATTGCTCACTTGGGAGAACTCCCGTTTGGCTCCCAAACGAGTAATAAAGGAGTACAAAGTCGACCAAAATCGTTTATTGCTCCAAAATCATGCCTCTGGGAGTATTCGTTTGTTGCTCGCTTAGGAGAACTCCTATTTGACTCCTGAGCGAGTTATAATGGAGTTCAAAACCGACAAATCTCTACTATTGATCCGAAATCAGGACAAAGGGAGTACTCTTTTATTCCTTACATTGGGAGATCTCCCTTCAAGTTCTAGTGGGATGTTTCAGTATAAAAAAAAATTATTTAAATGTTTTATTTGAATGATTTTTCGACATAAATAAAAAAAATGCACTCAACCTTTGAGATGCACTTTGTGGCTAAATTGCCGCGGCGCGCCCTCTCGTGTAACTTTCAAAGCGCTCCCTCCGAGGGGTTAAAGAACACACGTGAAAGGGAGTCGCCCTGTCTGGAACCCCGTTTGGTGGCGAACGACTCGGAGAGGTCTTTCCCAAATCTGACGGAGCTGGTGGTATTGCTGAACGTCATTTTACACAGCCGTATTAGTTTGGCGGGGTTGCCAAATGCTGTCGAAAGCGCCTTTAAAGTCGACAAATAGATGGTGAGTGTCGATCATTTTCTCGCGGGTTTTTTCCAAGAATTGGCGTATTGTGAATAGCTGATCTATGGTGGATTTTCATGTCTAAAGTCACACTCATTATGTCCAATCGGTTCATTGACGGTGGGCTTCAGTCTTTCACACAATAGGCTTGATAAGACCTTGTATCCTATGCTTAGAAGGCTGATTCCGCGGTAGTTGGCGCGAATGGCGGGGTAACCTTTCTTGTGGATTGGGCAGAGAACACTTGAAATCCAGTCGTCGGGCATGCGTTCATCTGACCATATTCTGCATAGCAGTTGATGCACCTTGTCAACTCCCCGCCGCCGTACTTGAATAGCTCAGCTAGAAGGCCGTGAGCTTCAGCAGCTGGTTTGTTGTTTTTCAGTCGCGTTATTGCTATACATACCTCGTCATAGTCAGGCAGTGGAACATCGACTCCGTCATCATCGACTGGGGGCTCAGGTTCATCTTCTCCGCAACTTTTCGTGCTGCTACCATTCAGTAGGGCGGAAAAGTTTTCCCTCCATAATTTAAGTACGTTCTGGACATCGGTAACTAGGTCGCCATTGTTGTTCTTACAGGAGTTGGCCCTGGCCTCACATATTTCGGCCTCTCTCCCCTTATAGCGGCAAATACGTCTCGATTCCCTATTCAGTTCCCTATAGCGGTCCCACATAGCACGCGTTGCGCCCGATCGCAGCGTGGCCCTGTAGGCGGCATCTTTTTTCTCTGCAGCTTCCTGACATTCCTCATCGTTCCAGTTGTTATTTCGGGCTCGCTGAAATCCGATTAATTCTTCGGCGGTTGTACTTAATGAGCGGGAAATGTTGCTCCACTGCTCGCATATGTTGCTTAGTTGAAGAGTGTTTTCTGAGAGCAGCTGTGAGAGTCGAGTAGAAAATGCATTGGCTGTCTGTTGTGATTGCAGCTTTTCGACGTTAAGCTTTCCTTGCATTTTTGCTGCACAGAGGCAGGTGCGTATCTTGGCTGCAACAAGACACTGGTCTGAGATTGATGTTTGGACCTCGGAGTGTACGTACGTCTAAAACACTGGAAGCGTGCCTTCCGTCTATCACATCATGGTCGATTTGGTTTCTCGTTTTTCGATCCGGAGACAGCCACGTAGCTTGATGGATATTTTTATGCTTGAACCTAGTACTACATACTACCATGTTTCGGGCCCCGGCGAAGTCGATCAACCCCAGTCCGTGTGGTTCCAAACATCCCTTACTTGCCCACCCTGGCACTGAAATCGCCAAGCCCGATTTTGATATCATGGCGGGGGCAGCGCTCGTATGCGCGCTCCAAACGCTCATAGAAGATATCCTTGGACGCCTCGTCCTTCTCTTCCGTCGGAGCATGGGCGAAAATTAGCGAGATGTTGAAGAATCTCGCTTTGATGCGGATAGTGGCTAGGTGCTCATCCACCGGGCTGAACGACATTACTCGGCGACGGAGTCTCTCTCCCACCACAAATCCAACACCGAATTCGCGCTCCTTTACATAGCAGCTGTAGTACATTGTTAAAAAATTTGTGAAAACTAATACTGTAAGAGAAATTTGTAAAAAATAAAAATGTAAAGGTATTTTTTAAGTTTATTTTAAACAAAATTTGAGTTGTTAAAATTAACAGTAACAACACATTGTCGGATGTTGCCTTTAAACCTATTGGAGTTTACGTAGAAAAGTCTTAGCTACAGAATAAAACCAAACTCAGATGCTAATTTCTGCTCCTTATATTTTTTTTTGTTTTTTTTTTTACACGCTTATACATAATAGTTTCACCTGTATGTAAAAATGTCCAGCCTTTTAATTAGATTTCACAGAAAGATTTTGAGAATGCAGTTCTGTAGCCCAATTAATTTAAGTATAAGGAAGTCACACTTAAAGTAGCTGGGACTTACGGTTGATTTTTGATTTAATTTTTTTTGTTGAAGGTGTTTCTCATTTTCTTCATATCATCGAATTCACCTCGTATGGAAGAAAGTGACTAACACCGTCAACAAAAAAAATGTAAAAAACCAACGGTCTTTTCTATATTTGTTATTGCCATTATCGTTAAGAGGTAGAGTTGTGTACTCGCAGAGCCGGAAAGCACTCCTTTGCCGTTTATAGTGTTCTTCTTTAAATTACTTACTTCATTATGCACAATTTCATTTATATCTACATAGTATGTGTGTATATATTTACCCCTTACATACATGCATATCAATATCCAAATATGCATCCTCCTCATATATGTATGTATGTATGTATAGTGTTAATGTCATTGCAGAAAAATGCTCCACCTTACACAAACACGAGTAATCAGATGGTTCTATCTAACATCGTTGCTTCTGCTACTATGCTGGAACAGCTTGATCGAATGCCGAAAGCAACACACGCACTCTAATGAAGCTGATCGTGAACTCATGAGTTTTGAAGAAGATGGTGGTGGCGGAGGCGGAGGCGGAGGTAATATCGGAAATGGCCATCGTCGAGGGCATCGTAAAAAACATCATCATCGTCAGCATCACGAGGACAATCAGCTCTCATTGTGGATCAATGAGCAACAGTTGAATATGTTAAGTGGTAATGTATTTCTAGGGGGGAGTCTCCGCCACATGCTCAGTCGAATGAAATGGAAGAGACTCCCCCGTGAACTCTTTTTGATTTCCAAAAAACCGATCTGATTTTCAAGTTTAAAGCACTTTTCTTTCCACAAGGCTTTGCGCATGGTCGCATATATGCCATCGAAAATGGTGAAGTTCTGAACGATTTGAGAGAAATTAACATCTATAAATACTTGATTATACCCGCCGAAGTAAATTACGTGAATTTCACGTGGAAGTCGGGTAGCAGAAAATATTTTTACCATTTCGATCGGTTGCAAACGCTGGACGATAATATTCTAAGAGCTCCTACGTTATCGATTAAAACGAAAGGACGAATACCGGCAGAAGAAAAAAGTAAGCACTCATAATATATTTTTTCACAATATATAGCAATCGAACTCTGCTATTTTACGCCAAATACAGCATCTACGAAACGTATGTGTACATGCATAAATCAGGCCCTTTACTGATTGAAGTATTACACCGAATTCAGATAAGCGGGAAGTACTACTGCATGTCCTGAAATCTTCCGATTTAAGGAATATTAAATTAAGCTTTTGAAACATTTTAAAACCACTAAAAAAATTCGTAAATGCTATGTCTCTGTTATTTCCGTGTTAATTCCACTTGGTTTTGGGGTCTTTTATTTTCACATGTTTCTTCAAGATGCCGAGAAATTCTAAAGGGTGCTTAGATCGGGGAAGATAATTATGTAACGTACTTGTGAATGTTGCCTTGCAAACTTAAATTTAAGCATTCTCTATTGATTGTTGATATGTACTTATGTATGTACATATGTACGCCTTAAATACACTAGTTGTGTCCAATAACGGTTATGATTCTCTTTGCAGATTTCAGTATTTTCCTGCCTTGTGCCGGTAATAACTCAGGTACGGCCATGTTCAATATCGGCTTGTCCATACAAAATCGTCGGGGGAAACCGTTGCCTGGCACACCAATACGCTTAAATTTTAAAAAGGAATGCGCACATAGAGGTAACGCTACCATCTCTACACTAACATCTCCGCAAGGTAGTGTATAAAAAAAGAAATGCTTCCTTTACAAACTTGCATACATACATACAAACTATACAAGACATTGGCCTCTAACATACTTCTTGCGAAATTTGCTTTTCTCAATACCACAGTGGGAGTAAATAGAAAATTAGAATCCGACCGATTGTTCAGCTTCGGCTTCGGTTTGCCGATTAATCTGCAATATTTTCATATTCGGCTGAATGCTTGGCGGCAAAAAAAAAAGACCGAAGTTTTTGCCGAAGCCGAAACTTTTTGCTATCTATATTTTTTTAAACATCTATTATAATTTAAAGGTATACATTTATTGCGAATAATCTGTTTCAGCTGAGGACTTTGGGATTTGAATTTGTGATTAAGGTTTATATGTACATATTACAGGTGCTGATATTTTTCAATATTTGAATACTAGCTCCCTAGAGTTACTTAAGCAGTTGCTGTCAGTGGTCAGAGAACAAACTCACTTGGCGAGAACGCAAACTAATGGTTAAATTTAAGTGACATCAGGGCGGCCGCTGTGGCTGACTGGTTAGGGGTGAGTGCTAAGGACCTGGTCTGTACAATAACAAACCTCCGAGTGTATATCTGCAATGAACAGGCTTCAAATTAGGGATGTGCCGGGTATCCGGTTGATATCCGGATCCGGCTTTTCCGTCCGTTTTTCTGCTACCCGCATATCTGGCCGGATACTGGCTGAAATCCGGCCGGATTTCTAGATTTCGGTTATAGAAGATTCAATTTAAAAATCTAGTTACATTTTTTTTGTATTGTTATAATCGAATTATATAAATAGTATCTAATTTGTAATTTAAGTTAAAATACATTTGCGTTCAACCCAGCGCAGGGTTGCATGAAAAAAAAAGTTAAATGGCTAAAAATATCAAAATATGAAAAATTATCAAAATATTCGCCATAAAAAGGTATTTGCATTGTTCAACTTTGCATTAAACTTTTGGTTGAATGGCCTTTCAACTAATAGCTTTCAACAAAGTTAGTCGCCAGCCAACATTTAGCCATTCAACTTTACGTGCAACCCTGCGTCCAGTTGAACGCAAATGTTGAACGCAAAGTTGAACAATTCAAACACTGATTTGGTTCACTGAGGAAGGTAGTGCGCAGGGATACTTTATTGCCAGTATAAACAAATTTGGAAATTCTTAGGCAGTGGTTACGCCACCAATTTCGATTGGCAATCACCGTGCAATTGTTGTTGTGCACAGCACGGAGTGAGGGAATTTTCGAAATCGAACAGCCAGCACGATTTGCTGGGTGAACCGAACAGCCAGCACGCCAATTTTTCAGGGTGGCAATACGCTATTTTGCGAAAAAGTATTAGTATTAAATATAAGAAATCTAGTAAAAAATATTTTTTATTATTATAAAGTAGATATTAAAAAAAATATTATTACAAAAATTAAATATTAAAGAAAGAAAAAATATTAAGTTGTTCTTCCATTTTTCATTTTCCGACTTCAATTTTGATGCATTTTCAGTTGCATTTTTACTTCAGTGCTGCCATTGTGTGCGAAATTGTATGAAATGGAAAAAGGCATTTATTAAGAAGCAACCCTGTGCTCGCCAATCAGCAAACAGAGCGTAACCACTTCTCACCAATTCACCAATCACCGAAATTTTTCTCTTTTGAATGCCAATTAAAATTGGTGGCATAAGGGCTAACTATAATATGAATAAGCTGCCGTAACTGACTGCCAAAAAATGAACGAAAAGTCTGTCAAATGCATAAGCAACGTAGTGTATACTTTTAGGTGGCTATATTTTACTTACATGAGTTCAGTGTTGCCACATTTAATTAGATATAACAATAGCCACTATCAAGCAGTTTGTTGTAGATCACACAATTATAGTAACCTAGAAACGCCGAATAACTGTTCGCCTTGCGAAACTTTCAGGATAACCTGGTGTTTCTGTAAAAGGAAACGCTTACGGCCCACTTCCTAATGTGGAACCAGAACTTCTTTTGACCTGTGTTACATGTAGGACTGATTCGAAAAAGTTACCAAGTTGAAAAATAAGTTACCAAATTACCAAATATGATAAATAAAGAAAAAAATTACCAATTTCGGTAAAAAAATACCAATGAGGCAACACTGCATGTGTTACATATGCACATACATACGTACGAGGACAAACAGCTGATTCCGTACGGAAGGTGCGATCAGTATCGCTCTTTCCTTAAGCAAATGACGTTTGGCGAAACTTGACGAAACTTGATGTTAAGCACATTATAGTTTCAGAATAGGATTTATGTGTATTCGCACGTTTGCACACGCTTGCTTATTCATTTTATAGTTAGCCCTTTAGAGGTCGCGCTGGTCGGTTTTTTATAAAAACGCTGATGCTCTCAATTTTTTTATTTTCTTGACATGTTAAAATGCAGCTTAAAATTTGGTTTTTACACATAATTACTCTGGTATTATTGGGGAACATTCCTTAAATTACATACTTGTCTTAGGCAGTTAGAATGGGCCTAGTGCCCGAAAATATGCTCTCGAAAAGAGACTAGTAAAATTAAAACGTTGATACTGGACGGACTTACGTGTTGTCATGGGTTGGAACTTGTTACCAGGGGGTTTCTGGGGTTGCTAATTAGGAATCTGAAGTCAGTTTTTCAAAATTCAAAATGGAGGATCCAAAATGGCGGATCCAATATGGCGATCAGATTTAAAAAAAAATTACTAAAATTAAAACGTTGATACTGCACGTTTTAAACATTGTCAAGGGTTGAAACTCGTTTCCAGTGGGTTTCTGGGGTTGCTGTTTACGAATCTGATGTAAGATTTTCAAAATTCAAAATGGCGGTTAGGAGGTTCAAACAAATCCAATCATTTCTTTTAAGTTGGTCGCCATTTTGGATCCACCATTTTGAATTTTGAAAATCTGACATCAGATTCATAATCAGCAAGCTCAGAAACCCACTGGAAACGAGTTTCAACCCTTGACAATGCTTATCTTATGCTGCAGTATTTTAGTAATTCTTTTAGTAATTTATTTTAATAATTCTTTTTTAATTTGATCGCCATATTGGATCCGCCATTTTGAATTTAAAAAAATTGACTTCAGGTTCGTAATCGGCGACCACAAAAACTCTCGAGTGCCGGGTTTCGAACAAATCCAATCATTTAAAAGAAAAATTGATCGCCATTTTGGATCCGCCATTTGGAATTTTGGAAAACTGACTTCAGATTCCTAATAAGCAACCTCAGAAACCCCCTGCTAACAAGTTCCAACTCATGACAATGCGTAAATTGTTCAGTATCAACGTTTTAATTTTACTAGTGTCTTTTCGAGAGCATATTTTCGGGGAGTAGGCCCATTCTAACTGTCCAAGACAGATCATATCAGAGTAATTATATGTAAAAACCAAGTTTTTAGCTGCATTTTAACATGCCACGAATATAAACAAATTGAGAATATCAGCGTTTTTATAAAAAACCAACAAGCGCGACCTCTAAAAAAACTTTTTTTTTTCAAAATAAAAAATACGTGTTTCTTTTTTTATCACAAATAACAATATTCTTATGTAACGTTTATGAATTTCCAAAAATAGTGTTTTTATGAACCACTCTAATAAACAGTGATGCCAATAAATTTTTGAAAAGATCCCTACCGCTTCTCAAGAAAATCCCCACTTTTCCCTACACAAATATAATTATTTCCTACAAGATTTCCCTACATATTTTTTCATACATCGAAATGAAACAAACAATCTTTTGAAAATTCATCTTTTATTTTAAACATTAGCAGCAACTTACAATCTTCGCTCTTTTATTCAGACTCTCCTTTTGTGTTATTTATAACCAGGGAACGGATTTTATGGAAATTGCCTTTTTACTGCTAAAGAGATAGAGTATATTCGATTAAGAATGTCCACGATTTAGCTTTCCCTGATTCCATATATACACATTTGATGTTGCCTTTTTTTGCCTTTTTTAAGATATTTGCCTTTTTTGCTATTTCTACCTTTAAAAAAGTGATTATAGCATTTACATTTTTTTTTTAAGATTAAAAAATATATACATGCCCATGCGGCTTATAGAAGCGCAGGGACCTCTTGCCAAATTGGTGTTGAAAAAATTCAAAGCCGTTTTCTCAGCTAACGTAGGCTTGAAGACAATAAGGGGTGTGGATAAAATTGTAAAGGGCGAGGAAAACGCCCTTATTCCTGATAATATGAACGTTTCAAACGTTCCATATTTAAATTGGGCTCCACTTGTATCAACTTGCGTCGAGCGCACATTTAGTACATTCAAGGCATTTCTTCGCGAAAATCGAATGAAAATGCTGCCAGAAAACTTCAAAATGCATCTTGTGGTTCAATGTTACTACAACTATACAGATTAAAGTTTTATGAGTTAGAAACTCGAAAGGATAAAATAGTCAAAGATTCAAAGTACAAATTTTTCATAAAATGAAACTAGTTCACAGTTTTTCTCTTTTTACTTGTAATATAAACATTTATAAAAAAGATATATTTTTTGATTGTTCCTCGTATTTTAGTGCCTTATTTTGCTTTTTTTGCAATACCTTTTTTTTGCCTTTTCCTGCCTTTTTCGCTATTTTATTTTGCCTTTTTTACAATACCTAATGCCTTTTCCTGCCTTTTGCGCTATTTTATTTTGCCTTTTCCAGCCTATTTCGTTACTTTATTTTGCCTTTTTATAGGTTTTTAGGTCCTAAAAATCCGTTCCCTGTTTATAACAATATAATCGCGTAAATATAGATGAATACGCGGGAAAAATGGCATTAAGTAAGCTTGAATCAAATGAGTATGTTCAAGCGCAGACAAAGTACATACATACTTTAAAAGCCTTGCAGTTCAGTGGGTGTGATCAAGCACATATGAAGATTTAACTTGCTAACATTCGTTACATTTAAATAATTTCAGTTCTCGACGAATTTCAACTCTCAACAACGAAAAACTGATTTTGAACTTGTACAGTTGTCGAACTCACCGATTCAATTATTAATGGCATGAG